CCCCCCCCCCCGGATAAAGTTACCCGAATCGTTTCCATTTGATCCGCTTCCTCCTCGATCGAAGGAGTCAAGGGCCGCCACCTTGTCTCTATTGGCCAGGCCGTCGCGGTCCTCTCTGCTTTGCCGTCCGCGGCCGTCGTCTCTCCGCCACCGGCGTCGTCGCCGCCTGTCCCTTCAACAAAAGCCAATATTCCTGCAGACAATGCTGAAGACCCCATTGTACGGAACCGGTCCGAGAGCCTCGGGCCGACGCGGAGCCGCGCGCAGGTGAAATGAAATACGCCGCGAGACGTCACGCGCAATCCGTATACGTCAGGTGGTGCGCCAGATTAAGCGCAGCAGTCGCGGACGGATCTGTGACGCGGCACGCCGACGGGGTTCGCGTTCAGCTCCGGTCAACCGCGCGAACGTGGCCGGATCCGCTCATGTCCCGCGAGGAATGGCGCGTCAATCTTTTAAGTATCTCGCACGGGGTGTCCCACGGGAGACGCGGTCGTGCTCATCCGGAAAGCGATTTCTCACGAGAAATGAATAAGAAATGCGGAATCATATGTTGTCGCGCGGAACCCTCCGGTTCTTCCGGAGGATGTGCCGAACGCGAAAGTAATCTCGTGAATAAAGAATCGCGAATTATTGTCCACCTGAGAGTCAGATGCGCCCCGGCGCAACTGAAACGACGTTCGCCGAGATAATCTCGCGGTAAAGCACGGCTTCGCGAGAAAATTGCCCCGCGTAAGCGCCGCGATCTCTCGCGCTCCCGATTCCCTTCGATCATCGTGGTGGCACCTGGAGATCCTCTAATAGAAATTAGGACATCTTGCGAAGATTCCTTATTGAGACAATCCGTACGCTATTAATAGGGAAGACGTGAGAGGGAGTGAGAGAGATGTGCTGACAAAGGACGCTGCAATGTGATGTATGGGTTACAAATAATTAAAGTGTAGGATTGAGATCTATATTACTTTCATTCTGTATAATTGTTAGAAGTGATATTTATAAACAATATGTATATGCATATATTTAGCAATCTTCTTTTATAACATTACAATCACAGTTGAACTTAATTTAAAACTTCTGATAAACATAATTTGTAAAAGAAATTTTCAAAAACCGTTTTAGAGATAAAAGGCCTAGTTGTGAAGCGCAAGACTCCGCGAATTCATAGGAAAATTGATACAAAATGTGTTCTTTATATGTTCTTTATATTTATGTGTTCTTTATATGTTATTTATATTTATGATTAGTTTAATAAATACTTTTAATATATTCTATCTCAATCTCATTTTTCTATGCATACAATATTTCATCTCAGTTTTCATATGGTTATTCTATCTTTATTTTGCTTTTCTATGAATACGGTATTTTATATCTGGCGATAAACTTTTACAGATTTTTACATCTGCAGCAAGATAAAAAGAATAATGCTAGAAAAGTTCGTATTGTTCATACGTACACGCAAAATATCTTACTGTCAAAAGTGTTGTGGAAAATATTGCTCGAAGCAATTTCGTCAAATGTAGGTTATTATAAAATGTTATTCTAGCTACCATGTATTTGACATCCAAATGTTATATTTATAAATAATGGGAGAATTTTATACAATCACAAGTAGATAATATAAATTAAATATCACATAAGAATTTCTCAATTCCTTATTTGAGAGAAATGTAATCTTTAATTTCGATAAGCTGTGAATTGAACGATTTGTGCATTTGAAAAATCACACGCTGTAATTCCCTATTAACGGCGGACGGTGTTCTACTTTTTACTTGAGAAACTTTAGTGACTTCTCGACACACACCTTGTTGGCACCTTCATCGCCGTAGTCGCACCGAATTTTTCGTGAACGGTGACAGAGAAGCTTCTCTCGTCGTGGAAAAGAGATGCAATATTCGCTACGAATGCAGGGGATCGCTTCTGCGAAAATTCCCTGGATCGGAATCTCTTTTCCGAGCAAACGCGATTGAAGTTACGACGCTCGTACTGCGGCGTTCCCAGCCCGATACTTATTAAAACCGGGCGTCTCGTTTGTGATATACCGGCCCCAATAACGATCGTAATTTTGGCTAAACGCCTGCGTCGTTCGGTTTCGTATTTTCCTGTCGGCATTACACGGTTTAACGTGTAACGCGCGCGCCAAACTTTGATATTATATTAAATGCATAAAATCCCGCGGTATATCAGCCGCAAAGCCCGCCTGAAAATCCTCCGCAAAGCCACGTGAAATCTGTTTAGGACAACGTACATACAAAAGCTATGTGAGTGACTCGCGACCACGACGGGAAACAATGCCCGTGGCTTTGCGTTATGTTTACGCTGAAAATAATATGCTGTTTTCTGACACGACATTCGCGACCGCGCGACCCCCTCGTTGCAATTCGACCCGGCGTGGTTGCGTTTCGTCGTCGGCGCGACGACGGCGCGTTTTAAAAGTCGCGCGCGCCCGATCACGATCTCGATACGCACGCGAACCGCCGGAAATCCGCGGAATACAAGCGTTTTCGGTGTATATACCGTCGTTGAGATTACGGGTCGTGTCGTCCCTCTCTTCTTCGTGCTCCCCCGCCGCCCCCACCTCCATCACCTCCTTCCTCACCCCCGCCGCTGCCTCCATCGGTTTCGCCGGCCTCGCATTATCGGGGATTTCGTTGGACTTAGCGTTTGCCTACGAAACGAAAGACAAACACTTGTGCATTAAGGATCATGAAGTCTCGGATAACAGGCGAGGTGAAACGATGTGAATAAATAGTTCCTCGCCGTCGTATCCTGAAATTTTTAGCCGCTCGCTTCGGCCTCCGCTCGCCCGGCTATTTTCGCGAATGCGAAGAGGCTGATATATATATATATCTAATAAATATTTTTAGAATATCTATATCGTGGCGTCGCTCGAACAAATCCGCGTTAAGTTCGCGAAACGCGGTTTAAGGCGGATACGAGATATTACAGTCGCGGAGTTTCCGCGCAATATCGCGCTGTTTGTGCGGGCGAGCGAGCGAGTAAGCGAGCGACGTCTTCGAATATCGGCAGCAAATATCGTTCCTCTTTTTCGTCTCAGCATATTTCTTTCGTCGCGATTACGACGCGAGCTCGCGCTGATGTTAACAATTCGCTCGCTTTATTGTCGCGTTTCCGCGGCTGAGACGTGAGCTCACGCGCGTGAAAAAATTTTGGTGCGCGATCGTAAACATGTCCCGACAAATAATAAAAAGATCAATTATCCTCGAATTTATCAGAGTCCGAGAATCGGTCGGCCGAAGGAAACATATAAAATGAAGATGTAATGTTCCCGATAAAACGATCGTGTGATATATAACACACGCACGCACGCGACACACGTGCACACGTCCGGCACGTGCGTAAGCGCCCCCAAGAAAAGCTTTGACAGGTCGTTACGCGAAAGATTAATTGCGGCTGAGCACGATCTTTATTCCATGTACGTTGGAAGAAAACGCGCTCTATCTAGGATAATCTATGATTTAGCGTCGCGAAGGATATTGCCGTCCTTTCGCGAATCCTAATATCGATGGTCAGCTTTATCGGAACAATAAACGGTAACTTCTTGTATGATTCAGCACTGTGTCGAGAAAATAAAAGAGAGAGAGAGAGAGAGAGAGAGAGAAATTGCATTGTATAGAAAATTACAATGCGAAATTTCGCCAGAATATCAGTTTCGCCACTATGTGTGTGTTGCTGTGTGCGCTTAGGACAATCGAGGATTTCCAGCAGCGCTGCGACAGATCGACGCATTGCTGCTCGAACAATCTGAACAAGAGTCACAAGTTCAAAAACATGTTAGTGGCTATTCAACAATTACATCACACCACAAGAGAGAAAGGTCTATTAACTTGCGTGACGGACTGTGATAATAGAGAGGGGAATAAAAGCCATAGAATGTCATATCAGATGACATAACTTACAAATGGATGTAATGGATGCGCGTGGATTATCCGGCTTTGCGTTTGTGGCACATTTGGTTAAATTTGTTGAAGATTTTTAAGTTTTGACATAGTCTTATGTTAATAATCAGTGTTCATTTTTAAGTATTTGTTCTTTTAACAACTTTTATTAACCAAAATTGTCAAATAAAATAATTAATTTTATATTATATGCCCAAAAATTATTTGGGAAATATATAATTATTAATTATATATTATATAATTAATAATTAATATATAATAATTACATATATAAAATAAATATATAATGAATTATCCTAGAAAAAGATAGTATGCAGTCTAATAATTATTACCTATAATGTATAGTTATAAACTATTTTTTTCTTATTCTATGCGTCGGTGGGAGGGGAGAAGTAACCCCGCATGTCATGTAATATTGAAAAGGGGCAAATACTTTGTGACGAAATGGAAGAGAAGTGTAAAAAATATCAAATTTTCGCGTAACGTAGTTGTGTACGTATATGTTTTATATTGAATGGCTCCTTACAAGATATTTTAATTACTCTTCCGCGTTTTCCATTGCGCTCATAGCTGCAATTAGAAATACAAGTGGCAAACATACTTAAACACTAGTTGCATTAAGCGTACCGTACACGTCGTTCCATTATTTTGCAAATTAATTGTCAAGTTATTCGCGCGTGGATAATCGGCGACGATTGAACTGTTAGTATAATAAAACTTTCGATCAATCGAAATTAGAGCTGCGGAGTCCTGTGTATTTCTATTCCTTCCGGGGAACGACAAACTGTGTATCGGGCGCGTTCGATTAATCTTTTCCGCCGTGTGTAGCGGCGGAATTGCGGAAGGAGCGCTCGGTCGCGCAGGTCGCAAAATGAAGGAAAGGAGGCGTGTCGTTGACGTTTTCTCACACCAAACACATTATTGCTCGTTATTTGTAACGGTTCGTCCGCCGGCATTTGGCGAGCGATTATTTCGGCGAAGACAAAGGTGCGTTTAAATTGTCGTGCAAGAATTCCCGCAATGTGAACGCGCGTCGCGGATCTCTCATCGCGAAACGATACGCTCGATGTCGGCTTCTCCGGTCTGTCGTTGCGCCCACGTTCGTTTTCTCATTACGCGGTTGTCCGGTTACGTCAACGTTGCGACAATATCTAAAACACGCGCGAAAGGGATGCGCTCAGCGTGCTCACACACACATACACACTCGCACTCACATTCAGGGCGGAAGAAGCGGCGAGAGACCTTGTACTCGTCCCATCTGTTCGCAGTACCTCGCAGCAAGTTCTCCCGGTGAATAAAAAGTAACCGAGTAACTTAACTAGATGGCTATTTGAGTCTGTAACGCTGAGAATTAAAAAGTTCCGACGTCGTAAGCTCCGAAGCGGCATAAACGGTGTAATGGGACGTTATTTTCCAATTAATTGCTGGAGTCTCGCTCCGCCAGGAATTCAATTTGCGATTCCCGTAGTAATTGAACTATTAATCCGTCAATGCAGCTTAAAGCCGTTAGCCTAGGGAGAAGAGCTATTAATTCGCCCCGATCGTGACGGACGAGAGGCAATGAAATAAAAACCGCGGGATAAACACGTGGCGTATCGGCAGAATCTCGGGAACACGTTTTCGTTCGTCGCATCGTCAGTTTCACGTACCGTTTTTGTCGTACCGATGGTCCTTCGATAGAGCCCTCGAGACGACTGAGGAGAATCAACGCCCGGGCCTTCGGGTGCGTCAAAGTTCGATCTCGAGCTGTTCGAACTGTTCCAACTATTCGAATTGTCCGATCAGTCGACAATTCGGCTCGCCGGGCTCTATATACGAAGGGCGAAGGCAAACATCGATTCGACGCTTCTCTCTCTCTCTCTCTCTCTCTCTTCATCTCCTTGGTTATCGATACAGCGAGATAACATTGCTACTTACAACGGATTCAATCTTTCTCCCTCCCGGGGCTTCGTCGATCGCGGCCATTTCGGCTATCCTCGTGATCAGATCGAAGTGCGCCCGTAGCCATTTGTGCCATTCGTCGGCTATCTCGCCGATGCCGGTAAGCCAAACCATCCAGGCCCGCAGCTTTTCCGACGGCACGGAGTAGAAGCATTCCATCGACCGCATGACCTCCCTGTGTCATTACCTCGCATCAGATAAGTTCAAGTTTCGCTGATTCACCGTCTTGAGGAGAAACAATAACGCGGGGGAGGAGACGATAGCTGTGACGACGCGTTGACATTGACACTCGGGCGTTCGGGAAATTCGCGCGATAACTTCCCGGATATATCGGCGTAGCAACGCGCTATCTCGTTTTTGAGCCGTCCCTCGTCGCGTTAACCGCGATTATGGCGATTTCAACGTCTGACGACTCTCGGATCTTTACAAATTCGTAAGTTCTCAACAGGCGCCTTCGGTGTCTAAAAAATCAGCAGATCTCTCGCTATTTTATAATATTCGCTATAGGGGAGACCCGGCCATGTTTGGTAACTTTTCAGAAAACTAATTGTTATAATTGACTAAACAACGATAATAGTGGCAACCTTCATCTGTGGTTTTTATGCTACCGAAAATTCTGTAATCTATGCAATTTCGTCTGTATATTGCAAATCCAAGTGTGTTATTTTAGCTGAGGCTTTTCTTACATATTTCTTGACGTTTTAAATCGCGTGATTTAACACGATTGGACGTACTAACGTTTTACACGATAAAACGTCTTGAATGACGTTTTGAATTCATCTAAAAAAATATGTGAAAGAATTCCGATCAAATGTGTCATTTTTCGGCATTTATTGGTGTAAATAACATATTTAGTTTTGCAATATAATAATCAAAATATCAACATGGAGTATTTATGCAAACCTGACCCGGTACTACCAGAGGTAGGTTCGAAAGCAGCCCGGGGCAGGTTAGCATTGTATACAATAAATATGATCGTGCACATTGAGAGATGTATATACGTTTAAAGCTATTTATCAATAAATGAGAGGTTGCATATTGCTGGCGGTCAGAATATAATGAATTTTGTTTTTTAATTAAATTATTCAGCGCTTGTCAAAATATAACCTCCAGGGCTTTGTCAAATATAGGCAATCTCGTCCGTGCAATCTTCGATGAGACTGACAACAATTCTACCATTCATTATATTAATTAATCGACAGTGCGTTTGATATAAGTATTTTAAAGCAACACAAATAACTGTAAAGGTGCTTCTGGTTTTATCTTCTCTACTGATATGCAATAGACGATATATTATAGACAAATTACATCTCCGATAGCCGATTGGCACACGCGAGAAAACTAGCCTGCCTTCATGCAGCGATTCGCACTGAATTAACCTAATTGCCCAACCTGTCCCATTCACTTATTCCTTCGATTTCAATCATTTTATCCACGATTTTGACGTTGATAATGACGTTTCGATTTTAATGTAAATTGGAAACTAGTATTTGTGTTCTGAGAGGAACGTCTTGTGATTCCTTTCGCATTGTTTTTTTCACAATAAGGGTAAATGAAGCGTCTTACCAACCTGCCCCGGCCTCCCCTATGAATGAAAAGTTGATATGCAGTGGAAAATATAAAGTGAGAGATATTACATTGTACATTTTTGTGACAAAGATCGTTTTTAACGTTGGACCGCGGTACCCGAGTCGGAAAAGCATGTAGCATTTCACAATTAATGAGAAAGACTGCGACAATATTTTAATAATTTACGGCACTCCGCCGGACGCGAAGGGATTTTTTTCTTCCCTCCTAGATGGTGAAGACTCGTTGCGTCGGTGATCATATTTAAAGGAGTATAAGTCCGTCGTGGGCGGGAAGTGCGGCGTACCAAGCCGATACCGCACGTGTCATTACGCGCGTTTGAAAAAAACGACGTAAAATGAGACGAACGGGAGAGCGAAGGGGTGGGGGGAAAATACGCGCGTAAAACGCGACGACCTGATTTCCCACGGTGCAATTCGCGTTACGAATCCCGCAAAATCGCGCACGCCTCCTCCCTCACTTCCTCGCTCGCTCAAATTTTTTCCCCCCGGCTCGCTGAGCGAACGGTGGCGGAAATAAACAATGATCGAACGTAGCGCGCAAACCGGACAGGAAATTGAATCGCGCGGTACACGCGCTCGCAGTAGAAAGGAACCGCATTTGCCAGGACCGGCCAACTTCACGTGCTATTCAATTTTTACAAAATACACCGAGGTAGGACACGGGCGGTTGTGCATTTCCCGGACGAAGGGGGGGAGTGGGGGGAAGATCCTCTCAGCGGAGTAAGTCGCGGACGTACGACGGAAGGAAGCGGAACGGGCCGAGGTGGGTTTCCTGTTTTTCGCGCGACCTCGATTTGCGTCATTCAACCTACACCTTGGACTAAAATTACCGATCGACAATTATCAAACTATTTTCAGACGAGATTCACGAATTACGTGTAAACGCGCGGCCTCTTGACGCTTCCGACGTGACGTGCGTCTTGAATGGAATCCGCGAGCCGGTATAAGAGCATTTCAACATTTGTCGCGAAATTACAAGTAAACCGGCTGCGTAAGGAGAGAGCGTAGCCGACTTCCATTCTCCGAATGTAAAAACCGTGATGTAAAGATCGTCTCTTATAAGAATGCGTTCTGTTAATTAGCAGACGAAGGTTGCCAGTTTGCACCACGTTGCTGCGACAAACGGCAATTGTTTCACAATGGATGAACAACGGTTTTCCTAACGTTTTAACTTGATGTATACGCGATAATAATGCGAGGACGGAAAGAGCGCGCAAGAAATTAACTGGGACGGGTGAGTGCGCGCGGACCGTCGAGCGATGGTCGCGGCGAGTTAGACGAAAGCTCGGAAATGGATAGAAATTAAGCGTGCTTCGGCGAAATAATGGAAGTAGATACGGACGTACATTGCCAGCCGGAAGAATTGCCTTACGCGGGCAGTCCCGTGAAGTTCAGCTCCCACGGCGATAGTGTGTGGGACATTCTCCTGCGAAATAAAATAAATCAGAAGGATGGCGCGCGATATGTGCGCGATATTACTCGTCGGTGGTGTCGACCCGTCCTACGTAGAAAATTTTATCGCGACGCAGAACTCCACCGACGGAGTATTTTAATTTTCATAATTATCGCATTGAGCATCGAGTATAACGCGTAAGCATCGTTGCGCGACGTCGCGGCGCAATTAAAGCCCGAGTTCCGAGAACCTCCACTTCGGCACGGATTGCGCTTGAATTCCCCGTTGTGATCGAAAATTTCCGTAATCAGCACCGTTGCGCGATAGACGCGCGGAGCAACCAATAATTGCTAATCCGTACGGCTTAAGCAGCCTATTACTATTAATACCGACCAATAATTCTGGAACAATTAACCACCTGCTAGATAATAACCAATTCTTGCGCCCAACGACGCCGTTGATCCTCATTTCAGCGTCTGAATGGCGCGAATTGTGCGGCGATATTAAGGGAAACATATCGAGGAAGTACATATCGACACTCGCTCGCATAATTGCAGAATGAGGCAATAACCACGCAGAGTAAGATTTCTTTGGATTTAATATATGTGTTTGTTCGATTTGGGTTTGTTTAATGTAAACAGTATAATTTAATATCAAATATCATTTTGTTTGAATGAAAATGTTATTGTTTCACTGGAATAAACCATGTTTGATAGAAGAAACATTATTATTTACAGAAAGTGATATTTCGTTTTCAATAAAAACAATTATTTCGTTATATTTTAAATATTGTTCCATCGAAACAAAAATGTTGTTTAATATTTATCTGACGTAGTGCTACTTCTTTCAAATAATTCATTGCTTGTGACAATCATTATATAGTGTTTGAATATAAATACAAAAGAAGTACGTAAGTATATGACGTATAGATATTTATTGTTTGAGAAGTAAAACAATCCTGTTTGTTGAATCAAACGTTCCGTTTGTTTACTCTATTCCAAAAGACAAATTTGTTTCAATTAGAGAAATTTCATTAAATCCAAAATCTTTTTTTCGGTATATTGCCCGCCTCGAATATCCTTGCAAAATAACAATATTCTACTAACGCTCAGATGAAAAAAGATGAAAAAAGTTAACATTTACAGAAGATGTTGGGGAAATGAAATTGGTATCAATGTAATTTCTGTTGGATTAATTTTTCCCCTGCTCTCATATTTCGAAGATTCGTTGGTGTGATATTTATTGCCTCACCCAGTATGTAAATTTATTGTGTCGCATAAATTTGCGCGTCCGCGTGTGTTGAAAAAATAATATTTACATAAAGATTAATTTTTTTTAAATTTCGCCAAAGTGCCCACGTCGCTCGAGCGATACGTCGAAATGCTGACATATCGAAGTGAGACGTACGGAAGAATACATATATCGTGGCGCACAGCCGATAGCCGTTTGCGGAACCGTTCGCCGCGTGAAATCGTTCAGGTTCGCGCGCTCGGTGTTATCTGAGGGAGGGGGGGAGGAGAGGCAAATTACATATGTGGAGGCAGGCGGGATTAAGCCTAGGGCTACCGCGCGTGCAGAGGAAGAGAAGAGGAAGAAGGTATCGAGTAGGGGCAGCCCTGCGGGTGTGCGCAAATAAAATTGGAATCCTTATGACTGCTCACACGCAGCTGTATTTTCTGGTAATTTTACAAACTCGCAAACGTAACAAAGGAAAACGGTGTGCTAAAGGCTAAGAACAAAATGGCGAGGACGCGGCGCGAAATGGGCGCGACACTGAATGGAAATCGTCGCAACGCGGGACACGCAGAAATCGGAACGCTATATACGTTATATACAGTGAGCTCGGCCCCGCTAGGACGCGGCTCCTTTCTCACGCAGGGAGAGATACGAGACGCAGGCCGCTCAAGGCGTGTCGCGAGGGCGGCGATCGCTCTCGCGATCGGCGACGCGTGGCGCAAGCAGGTCACTCGCGGGCACTGCGGGCTGACGCGGAATCGCGAGCGACGGAACGAAAGCACTGGCACGCGCTAGTTCGTAGCGTCGGTAGCGGAACGCACAAGGGTGGACAGCAAGGAACACTCACGAGCACGTCCGTGTTGTCCAGAGTCCGAGAAGGAAGAGAGCGAGCCGGGACGCTTCGAAAGAGAACACGATCGCGCCACAGAACACGTGGTTGGCCGTCGTTGATGTCGCGTGACCCTCGCGTGGTTCCGGCGGTGCGCGCGACGCGCCGGAAAAGCCGGGTGGCGCTCGAGCCGGTCAGAAGACCGGGCGCGGTTGCAGAACTTGTTTTCGCGTATGTGAGGCCGCTCTGGACGGTGGCGCCGCCGGTGACGGCGCGCGAGGCTCGACCGCCACATATATATCGTGGCGCACAGCCGATATCCGTTTGCGGAACAGTTCGCCGCATGAAATCGTTCAGGTTCGCGCGCTCGGTGTTATCTGGGGGAGGGAGGAGGGAAATTACATATACCCTAATATAGACGACGCTATTCAAATCACTCGTAACGTATCACCTGACGCGCTGCGCGGCTCCACGCTCGCGATGTCAACCGCGGCGGAATTAACGGACCGTGCAATGACGTTTTGCAATGACAAAGGTATTCGCTGGCAAATACCTACGGTGATGAATTTTAGTTCAATCCGCGTTGCAAGGGTAGAACAATGGATGCCAGATAAGGTCGTCAAAATGTATAGAGCCGGGGTATAAATTATCCTTTCCACGCATATGAATATGAATGCCGCGTGGATTTTACATTATAAAATTGCGCTGCGCTATTGGAAATCGAAGGGACCGGGGCGGACGGCGCGCGCGTCTGAGGATCGCGCCTTTTAACCGTTAAATCTCTAACTAATAACGGCACACATTGAATTATATTTATCGCTTGAACAAGTTATGAGTTTACTCGACCGCGAGTAAAATAATTAGGTGGTTGACTGATTAACGTAATTACCATTGTGAATAATAATAAAGATAATAATTATTATTATTATCGCGTTATACGACGCGCGCGTTACGGGCTATGATACGCGCATCGAAACGCGCACTTGGCGCTCGCGCGCAAATTGCCTGTAAGAACTGTCTTTTTCATTACACGGAGCGCGCGCATTTGATTACGCGCAAAGTAACGGCAATTTAATTACGTTTGCGTACCATTTAGAGACAATGGAACGTTATACTTCGCGGAACGTTATACTTCAGCCGCGAATTGCAGTAATTGGACGTTGCGTTCGTTAATTATACCGTCCGCGGGTGAAACGGATAAATTCAATGCGATTTAATAAATCGCGCAACAGCGCAGAGTCACCGCCGTTGTAAGCTGCAATTGTTGTTATCACCCGCGCCGCCGCGGCTGCCGGCTGTTATCATGGTACGGGTAATAATATTTAAACGTACCTAGAGAAATCCACGTATTATTAATAATAGGTTCTCTCTGATTTGACGAATAATGCGTTGCGTATGATAATCAACAACATTCGTAATTAACCGGGTATGCGCGTTGCTGTTGGTTTATTGTTGTTTATAATGTATTTTAACATACGCCCCGACGTCGGCTATTTTAGCCGGGCAAAATAATAATTCCGCCCCTTGTTCACCGTTAATATTATTTGTGCGTACGTGCGTGCATGCGCGATCCGCGGTTATTTATCTAAAAAGGTGAGGGGGAGAGGGGGGGCGGGAGAAAAGGGAAAAAGGAGGAAGTTTCACTCGGTGTAAAACCCATATTATACAGGTGAGCGAAGTAACGTCGCGAATTCCAATACGGCGGTGGAAAATTATTATCCCGCGGTAACCACCATTGTTACTGCCTGCTACCGCAACGCACAGCGAGGGGGATTTAGAATGATATTATTTTAAGAGGAGTGACATCAGCGCGGAAAAATTCGATCTATCTCTCCTGGGCGGCGTGGACGAGCGCGCACGAAGGGCGCGGCGATTGCTTCCGCGCGGAGAAACGCCGCCGGGCGGAAAATCGCTATCCGCGCGTTATCACAGCGACGATAAACACCGTACATTTTGTACTCGATTCCCCGAGAGCGCATTGGCGCGCGTTCTCTCGCGCACTGCCGCTGGCGTGCGAATCTAAACGTCAGAAGTTTCGCCAAAGGTCTCATTAGGAAAACGAAGAAAGACCCGTGGCTTTCCTTGCTTGACGCGAGGACGACGCGGTAGGTTGAAATCCTTCGGAGAGAGAACCTTCCGAAAATATACGAATTCGCGATGCGTCATTCGCCAAGTTTCAGTAAACATCAATTAACATTAAGCAGGTAACATTTAGTCAATATCAAGTTATAAGTATAGCAGTGATAGTAATGATTAATAATAATAGTTAATATGATTAATAATAATAAAAATAGTTAACACACAAAGTCGATTCTATTCTAACATTGCAATGTTATACATTTTGGGTCTCTTTTTACACGGTATTTTTTTAACACGATTCACAGGGTTCTTTCAACACGTTTTATTTACAGTTACATGATTTTTTAACACGTTTTACATATATTTACGCGATTTTTTTATAACATTTTAATTATAACATTGTTATACACGTTTCTACACGTTTCAATTATAACATTGACGTAATTTTATTGTTATTTAGTATTCACTAAGGTTTGGATCGATATACCTATATGCGGGGAGATGTACGTAGGTAGCTATTTATATTTCTGGCCTTGGTAGCAGTAAGTGTTGCCAGGCGCCATCTGACGTTGTCATTGGAAACTTGACATTGTTGAACATAAGAACATAAGAACACATTGTCATTTGAGCGCGGTTTGTGTTGTTTACAGTGAATTGAAAAATTCATGTCGGGCAAAAAATGGAATTAACTCGTGAACATTTTCGTGCGATTATTTTTCATAACTTTCGACGTGGATTATCAAGACAAGAGTGCATCGATGAACTTAATTCTTTATACAGCGAGAAAGCACCATCCTACAGCACTGTAAAAAACTGGTATAACGAATTCAATCGTGGCCGACGTTCGCTCCAGGACGAATTCCGTGAAGGTCGTCCAAAATCGGTTGTTGTGCCAGAAAATATCGATGCTGTGCGTGAACTGATAAAGCAAGATCGTCATGTGACATACCGTGAGATTGAGGCATCTTTGGGCATTAATATGACAAGCATCAATAAGATATCGCATGAACATTTGTCCGTAAAAAAAATTTGTTCGCGTTGGATCCCGCATAATCTGACAAACGCTCAAAAGAAGACTCGTGTTGATTGGTGCAAGGAAATGTTGAAAAAATACGTTCAAGGTGCATCAAAGGCTGTGTATAACATCTACACGGGTGACGAATCATGGATCTATGCATATGAGCCCGAAACAAAACAACAATCGACTGTATGGGTCTTCGAAGACGAGTCAAATCCAACAAAAGTTGTTCACGGAAGAAGCACATCGAAGCAAATGGTTTCTTCGGCATTACCGGTCACGTGGCGACAGTGGCGTTAGAGCACCGTAGGACGGTCAATTCTGAATGGTACACGACCATTTGTTTGCCAGAAGTCATCGGAGAAATTCGAGAAAAGCAGAAGAAGAGGCGAATCATTCTTCATCATGACAATGCGAGCTCTCACACATCGGGTCAAACAAAGGAATTTTTGACCGGCCAAAACATCGAATTGATGGATCATCCGCCGTACAGCCCTGATTTGGCACCCAATGACTTTTTTTTTGTTCCCGCACATCAAAAATAAATTACGTGGTCAACGATTTTCGACACCCGAAGAAGCGGTTGATGCATTCAAAACGCATGTTTTGCAGTTACCTCAATCGGAGTGGAAAAAGTGCTTCGAAAATTGGTTCAAACGCATGCAAAAGTGTATTGATCATCATGGCGAATATTTTGAAAAACGATAAAACCAATTTCGATCATAAATATTTGTTTTTTCATTATTAGGCCAGAAATATAAGTAGCAACCCTCGTACACGGCAATCTCCTGGCCGCGATCGCGCCAGTGCAAATCAACTCTCGCTCGAATCGTTTTTCTCGCGTGATAACAAACGAAGGAAATGATTCGGTAATCGATAATCGATAAGAGTTTTTCGTATTTAGGTCCTCCGGAATTCAAGCCGCGCCCCGTGGGCCTCTTACATTAATTTTCGCCGACTTTCTGACGGACCATTAGTCCGCGCAGTATCTCAGATCGATCTCGCGATTGACACATTTGTCCGATTCGACGTTACATTGAACTCCATTTAAACCATTGACTTCGCTTAAGTATTACCACGACCAAGTAATTCTGTTTAATTCATCCGACGACGGAATACACGTTTCGTCCCTTTCTGTGCCTCTCCAATTAAACCCCCAAAATAAGTCTGACGCCAGACTCTCGCCGATAAACAATACACGAGCCAATCCTCGTCTCACGAGTGCACGCAATTAGGCGTGAAAAATTGGCAAGACAGAGAAACGTGCGCTCAGGAAGATTCTATCCTAATAGGGAAGTGCTCGCACGCACGTTTTCCGTTGCATTCGCGTTTACATACTCGCGCTTCGCAATCGTCACGATAACCTCCTCTAATTGCAACGATAAAACGAACTTCGCCGCGTACTCACCGCGCGCCGGCTGCGCTCTGTTCTCTCGACATTGCGCGCGGGATATTATTATATGTATCGAGTGTGTCATCACGATCGGCACAGTCCGAGATGCGACACGCGATCTAGCGTGTTGTGACGCTCGCGTCGCGGCTTGCGCGTATGCAAGCAACGCAGATGTAATTATTCCGGCCCGATCATCGTCGGCACCGGGAGAGCGCGAGAATGTAACAACGGCGCGACGCTAATTGCGGAAGCTATTTACAACGGCAGCTTCGGCCGCGTAACGACCCAATTAATGGCGTTTAATTACTGTCTAACGCGCCACAGTGTTTTCTCTGTCGAGAATCGGGGTCCTCGGCGACATTTGTCTTCCCTCGCGGTAAACCGTTGATAACGCCGCGATAAAAAGTCGCGCGAGTTCATTCCCGCGTATCTTCCGCCGCGCGTGTTTGCTTACGGTAATGCCATAAGGAGAACGCATTTACTTTCGGCCACACTGTATGCGGAGTGTCCTCCAACTTTAATTCGATGTATTCATTCGGCGGAGGAAAAAAGAGACGGGAGGATCCCCGGCTCGAGTAACTTTATAGTATCTAAGATGTATTGAATATTTTATTTGGATAAAACGTCCGCCGGCTTGATTTCACAGTCGGAGACCTTGTGTGATATTCTTCGTAGATATCGCACAAAAAAGTCGGATTGTATCGCTCGGAAAAGGAATAACCAAATGCATTTCGGTTGAAGGAAAGAAAATTTTCGGTTCTTACCACCCGAATGTGTGTTTCTTATAACTAGAAATTCGGCTTCCCTCAACCAGAACGCATATGTGGTTGTTCCTTTTCCGGTTAATGCAACCAGATTTGTTTTCCATATAATATCGCAATAATTATAGTTCTCGGTTGAAGCCGTACGAAGGAAAATCGATGTATCGGTACATAGATTTTTACAAGATTTATTAATCGTCTCTCTCTCTCTCCCTCTCTCTCTCTCTTTATAAATCGAGTTTACGTTAATTTGTGAATAGCGCTGTACACGACGGCACACGCACATCGGAATACATTATTACATCATCGGACCCCATAACACGCACACGCGGATCTCTCGTCACGCGTGGCACTTGCTGCGGATGGGTTGTTCCACCTATCCGTGTGACACGTGTCCCCGCGGCAGTCGATCGTCGTTCGGCAAACAGTGTAGCTTCAATTATGATAATCAATTGGAGGAGCCGCTAGAGAGCAAACGGAATTTACATGCGATATAAAGCCGATGCGTGAGACGCATTTCGACAGCGAAGAATTGCAATTCCATCTAGTCGACGTACATACACACACACACACGTGCGCGAACGCATTGCAGAAAATTGTATGTGGCACGAAAATGTAATGTATAATATGTATAATGTATAATATAAGTGAGAAATCACATTAGCATGATATTTGGCAAAAATTACCTGAAGCTGTTATTAATTAACAGAAAATTATTGAAAAGGTGTCATCCCGCAGACGTTTCTTAAATGTCCCTCTCATTTGCTTCGCGCGAAATTAACCGAGACAGATTAACTGTAAATTATAAATAATTATACAGGCCGAGTGAAAAGTCTGGATACAGCGGAATATCTCGTAAACGATCGCAATTTGGAAAAAAAATGTCTCTCACTCCTCGTATACCAATTGTCGGTCATCCGACTGATACTCATCAGCCCTCTCCTCCCCCGGAGACTCGGACGCCGAATAAACATACAGAAAAAAAGAGAGGTTCACGTTAACCTCCGGCGCGCGTGTCAAGGACATCGCGGTACCCGAGCGTCACATCCTAGCCCGGATCGAGAGCGACAGGATCGAGAGCGCGTAGGTACACGCACTCACGCGTTCACGTACCCCGCGAGCGAGATCACCTCCTCTTCTTCCTTCCTCAATGGGCTTTCGAGCGAGTGGACCGCCCGCTCGGTGGGAGATCCCGAAGAGACCTCGGCAGGGGGAGGACCGAACACGCGCGCGCGAGCTCGGAGAACAGCGATATATGAAGGCGAAACTCGCGCACGTCGCGCACTCGATCGCCCGGAAAGTCTCTCTCTCACACGTGGTGGGCATCGGCAGGAAGCGGCGGTCCTCCGCTTTTCAGGCTCTCCTCTCGTGACGTGACGTTTCGTTTCGATACCTGGCCGTTCGACCATCTCTGTCGCAGCAGCTTGATCGGTTTGCACGATAGCAAAGAAATATCGGCGCGAGTTCGGTGCGAGAAAATACGCACGGGGACGTTGGCGAAGTGGCTCTCCGCTGTAGCGGGATCGTCGAGTGCGAATCCCGTCCACCCACTTCGTCACGTTGAACGTTCGCTCGCTCGAGGAGGGCGAAGGAAGACCCACGTGGGGGTGGTCGAGGAACGATCTCTCGTTGGTACCGCACCGATCATGAGCAAACCGTGGAAAGGTACGTGCTGTGAGGGGAGTCGGAGGAGAGTCGAGTGTTGAACGTCGAAGAGGAGGTCGCAGAGGGGTCTCAAGACCGACGTGGATCGGGGAGGATCGGGATGGATCGCGGTGGCTCGTTCTCGCGTCGTATCGAGGATGGTGGCGAGGAAAAAATCACGAACGCTCGGCCGAAGTTCATTAAGGATGCGTTCGTTGGACCGTAGACGATTGGGAGTAATTTGCATAAAAGAGGAGCAAAATATCGCTCTTATTTTTGCATCGGCATGCTAAATAGGAGCACTTCTCGATGTTGTTCCATTTTACGTAAGTTCGTCCCGAGCAGATAACGCGCGCGCACGAGTACCTTTTTTCTTACCTTACTTCACGCACTGTACGTGTCTCGAGGAGATTGGTCGGCTCAACGACGATGCGGACGAACGGAATTCAAGGTAGCATCGTGACGATGCATGCGAACGTGCGTCGTTTGTTGACTGAATAGTAAATTACACAGGCAAACTGCGCGGTTCCGCGATCCGGAGCACCAGCCGACGTGCCACCAGGTGTCGCGGAATGAATAGTACAAATGTGGAAGATTCCACGAGACGGGACGAGATCGGAAAGCGGGAGTGGAGAATCCCCACGTATCGGGGAGTGCCTGAGGATGTATTAACGGCCGAATTACGGATCGCGTTATCGCTCATGTCATTTGGCGAAAACTGCCGGCGCCCGAAAGCACCGGGCTCTTAAACGACCTCTTAAACGAGGCTTCTCCGAGAATTATCCGTGATCAGAGCGGCGTCAGTCGCCAAACCGCCCATTTCGGCTTTTATCTCGAATTGGTCCCCCACGTTTCTTTCTCTCTCGGCCACGATATCACCGGTGCTTTTTAATCACGGCTGTGTACTCAGTATCCACTCCACCGTACTCGTAAAGCCGCTCGGACATGTATTCTTCGTGCCTCTGATATCTTGATTGAGAGGTGATAAAGAGAGCTTAACATATTTGCCCTCGCTACGTTAACTCGCTCCACTCGAATCAGTTTAATTATTATGCAATTATCTAACGTATCAGATTAAGAGATTATTTAGCCTACAATGAGAATTTGAGATTTAAGAAACCGAACAATCATAATTGATTTTTCTTCTATAATTCGGCCGTGATTGGTCAATTTCTTAAGGCTTAGAGCTTAAAGCATCTATTGTAGACCGGGGCTTAGATATATCTAATTTCCTTTGTTGTTCGTCTAATCATATATATACATACACATAAATATATCGCAAATTCACAAATTACAGATTAAATTTTCATATAAGCGGCGAAGCGTCACGAGTCGCGTCAAGCGAAAATCGGATTTCAATTAATCGCCGCGCGATCCGGCCGGCCAATTCGCCCAAAAGTTGTCTGCACTTTTCTCTTTCTCAGGCGTGAAGGAGTTCGTCGGCCTGGAGGAGGTCACCAAGCTGGACTTTCTGGTGATGCTGTTCGCCGAGACTCTGGGCACGTTCCTGTTGGTCCTCATAGGATGCGCCTCGTGCATCACATGGGTGGCCGCGACGCCGCCGACCGTCGTGCATATTGCGTTCACCTTCGGCCTCGCGGTAGCGAGCTTGGCGCAGGTGAGTCGTAGAATTGATACGTGCACACGTGTGTGTGTGTGTGTGTGCATGCGTGCAAAATGAACGGGCGGAAACTGCAACTGTCCGAAGAACCGATTTCCATGGAACAAAGTGCACTCGCTCCGGCTGCGAGGCGTAAAATCCAGCGGCATGTTTAGAGATGCATCGTGTTTCCTCCTTCGTTTTCTCCTCTTCCTTTCCTTCCTCCACGCTCGTATCGCGCTCGTAACAGATGAGTCTCGCGATCGGCGATACGCCAGGTAAAAACACAATGTTCTCCATTAAAAAGCGATTAGGATTCAGACGCTATAATTAATCCGCGGCTCGAGGACGCGAATTGAGAATGGATTCATCGTCATTCGGCGACGAGTAAAAAGACGGAACGACGCAATTCCGCGAGGAAGAAAGAAATTCCCGCTGGCTTCGCCGTGGGAATCTCGCGTTATAGATGGACAGTCCTGTCGAATACATAAAAGCCTCGGCACCATCCTCGGCCATATTTTAATCGCCCGCTCTGCCAGATTTGCATTTCACGGAGACGAAGTCGCACGAAGGAAAAAACCGGCGCCGGTATAAAAGTATCGCCGGCTCGTCACATGTACGTGTGCGTGTGTCGCGTTACGACTAATAATTAATCAACATATGGCCGGCTCGGCGTAAAATACATCTGACGGAGTCGACGCGGAGTTTTCGCTCGCGTCTCGAAATCGTTGAACGTTGCGCGTTTGCTTTTCGGGAGCGAAGTAAGGTAAAGGTGAGATAAATTCCTTCGGTGTTCTTCGCGCTTTATAGCAGGTAGCGCACCGACCGGCGGGGCTTTATCGTCTCTTTTATAGCGATGCGATAATGACGATAATGCCGCCGGAATGTTCCGTCGTTTTGCCGTGTGATTAATGAATAATATATAATCAGTACCTCTTTCCCGGTGATATATTCAAATTCGATTATGCCACGCCGCTGGCACGCTTGATTCAAAATATTCAAGGTGGAACACGCCGCGTGTACGCTTCATCCGAACGCTCTGTATTTCGAGGCGCGGAGTGGGGGCTCCATTCACTTCGCTCAAATTTCGCGACCGCTCGCCTAATCGCTCTCACTCTCGTTCCATGAATCGAGCTTTTCCCTCGTCGTGAGAACCGCCGGGAGAATCAATCGCGCGCGGTCGTGATTTATCACGCCGTACGCTTCGTACGACAATGCCTCGCACAACAGCGATCGATCGAGATTTTGCGAAGAAAATAACGATAACAGCGGGGGAGAGGGCGGTCTACAGAGAGGGAAAGGATAATAATATTATTTTTCCCCGATTAAGAAGCGGAAGTCTCATCGGACCCGACGCGATCGCTGCGACGGCGAATTACATCGAATTCCAACGCGAATTTTTCTCACTCACGGAAGAATCACGGAAAATCGCGGTATCGCTCGGCCTCTCTCTGTCTCTCTCTTTCTCTCTCTCGCGAAAGCCGCGTTCATGCGAGACGCCGGTTACGCGCGATTCCGATCGAAACTTCGCCGTTCCGGAAAGAGCCGACGATGAGGTAACGTCGAGCGATGCCGGTAAAACCAGGTAATCTTCAATCACGGCCCGATCGAGGCGAGAGATTGAGATACATCGCGGGAGTATCCGCCCGGAATATCGATAGCGACGATGCCATTGGCGCGAGATCGCCTCTTATCAGCGGGCATCTGAATCGGCTCGTTGCAAAATCGCGAAGTCGTAAGACGTGAGAAGCCGATTTTATCTCCGTAATCGTCTTCGATTTCGCGCGCTTCATTGCGCGTTGCGCCTTTCCTTCGTTTCGCGAAGATCTCCGAAATTTCTCGAAGATTTCTTCCTCGAGAATCCCGGCGGCGGATGTTCGACGAATGTCACGGGCATCCGCGACATTCCATCGGGTGACGCGGAATCGGTCGGTCGATGAAGGTATCGAAGGTAAATAGACGAACGAGAAGAGAGGATCGAGGATCATCTTTAAATTCCCGCCCGGCTCGTCCTTTCGAATTCGCGGGGCTGACCTCGTCCTCGAAACAATTTATGGCGCGCTGTCGACACGCGAACTTTCGGCGAACGTGTCGGCGTCGATTTGTGGAGAACACTCGAGCAGCCTCCTTATATCAATCAGGATCCGCGCGACGATCGCGAGGATGTGAATGGGTGCCGTCCGGCGCGGATGTTTCCGAGGATTGTCGCAATCGAACGTGGGAAGTCAGGAATAAATCGACGGTCCCGCCGGTTTCGGTTTTACACGATTGAAAAACGAGAGTGCTACCGTTCAATATTTACTTGATCTAAGTAAAATGGTTACTCCAATACTCACCGGCGAACGTTTACAACAAATATTCACTAGAATTATAAGCTATTAAAGTGTAATTAAATTGATAGAAATATTATTTCAGTTAAAACACTGATAACCAGATAATTACGTTCACTTGATTCTAACATTTTGCTCGGTGCGCGTTCCTCAGAGAATTCGTCTCTTCGCGCATAAGTAAACAAATAAACAAATAAGAAATTTTCCCTATCGACCGAGCTGTAAATATGCGGGAAGGACACGGCGTTGTCTCTCGTTTCACGCCGATGTTCGCCGACAGTCCCAACTTCGGACTCGGAACTCGGGGCCAACTCTGATGATGACTGACGTTCCGTGTGCTGAAGAATGAAATCGAAAGCGTGAACTTCGGCTTAGTCGCGACGCGACGATTTTAATTGAAGCGCATACACACTCACGCACGCGCGCTCGCGCGTGCGCACGCACGCACTCGCGTGTGGGCCCGCTCGCGCGAGCGGGCCCGCCGTGGAAGGGTAAATAAGGCCGCCGGTTCGCCCAAGGGGGTCTAACTCTGTCCGGAGATGGTGTAATTCTGCCCCGGAGGCTCTGACAACCTACTCGAGAGCTCCGCGAGAGCAGCACTCTTATTCCGTGTGCGTCGCCCTTTTGATACTTCACTTTCCGACAGCCCGCGGCGCGGATGCGAGTAGTGTCTACAGGGTGCCCTAGAATTCACATGATTTTGTTCTTTTTATTCCTTTTTCTTTGTCTCTTGCCTCGGAAGTCCTCGCTACGAGAGACTCCTCGCGAGATCGAATTGCGTTTCGAACGGAAATCGAAGGTCATTTTCCGCTCGCGAAATTTTCAGCTTTGTCGGCTTCGTCGAGGCGCGATGCTCGTCAGCTGACATTAGTAACGATATTGTTTCTAGATCGAATGGTACATCTTTATCTATCTCGCGAGATAAGGAAATTGAATGATGAATTTATACAAGTGCTCGCCGCGCGACAGCTCGTCGCTTAGTAATAAAGCTGCCGTTAATGAAAAGGTGACTCTTCTACCGGCGCGCCAGAGGGAATTCTCGGACAAACGGCGTATTGAGTGACGCTGGAGAAATATTTGAGACACGACGCGCCACGTCGTGTGTGTATATATCTAGATGAAATAATTGTCGGATAATTATGACGAATCTAGTACGCGATGAGAGGAGCTCTCTCGTGGCGCTCTAATTGCGCTAACCACGCTGGCCGCTAATAAATCGTTGCTTGAGTAAATCTCGATTCTTGCGGACCCGAGCTTAATTCTGTATTCCCACAGAGCACAGGCCTCCAAAGGATATTCTAAAGACGTTCAAAAGACGTTCTACGTCCTTAGAACGTCCACGGAACGTTCCTCGAATACAGTATACCGCGTGAGCCATTATATACTGAGAAATTCATTCAGTTGACTCAAACTAAATTCTTATTTGAATATGGGCAAAGGAATGTTTCAATTACATAGAAATTCGGAGAAAATTAGGAGGAACAAAAACCCGATCAAGATCGGCAGTAATGTTAACTCGAATTAAGGTCTCACGTTCAGGAATTCAACGATTAATGGCACAACTCGAGTCCGAGGGCCGAAAACGGGCACCCGCTTCGCGAGAGAGGAGTCCAAAGACAAAAAGGAGCAGCTCGCGATTGTTGCGTATGAGTTGCGCAAGCGTTATTATATTAAAATCCCCTCTGTGCACTTGCAACTTCGTGCAACGCGACCATTCCTCATCCTTGTACTTCGTCATCTTTCTCTCGCACGTCGGCCAAGAGAAAGAGAATTACGGTACTAAGAAAGAAAAAAAGACTGGGATATCGCGGCATAAGGGAAGACGATGAGAGGGCTAAGGTGAGGGAGGGAGCGAAGAGAATGGGAAGAAGTACGAATGAGAAAGAGAGAGACAGAGATAGGGGGGGGAGGGAGATGCCAGATGTGCAGAGTCACACTCGATCCTGTTCCGAATGCAAATCGCAACGCATCTCGCTCCGTATTATACGCAAATGCGCGCTCTTCAGTATGCGCGAGCGCGAGGTATCGTGAAGCGAGAAGAACGCTCGCGAACGCTTCTTGCGCAATATCAGATGCAACAACAGTGACTCAAAACATCAGTTGTCGCATCGGTAAACGAGAGGCAGAGATTTTAGAAGCTCTTCGACAAATTGATATTCCCGCGGCCGTGAGTCGTTCGTGAAGCGTCGGCAGTCTTCTTTACGGCGTAACGCGCGCGTTGGCGCACCGCGTGCGCCAGGTCTCGCCTTCGGAATGGGAGGACAGACGGGACAAGAAAGAATCGAATAAAACGGAAGGATGCTTTCTGTATCTTCACAGAGATCGCGTCCGAGATTGTTCGTAACTGCGAATTCTCAAACTCCTCTCTCGTTAATCGTCGACTCGTTAGACGCCGACCGCTAATCGCTCCGCTGCGAGAATACACTCCTCTCGACACGCGGACGTATTTCTCTACCTCGTCGGTTCTACTTCCCTGCGCGAGCCTGCGTCTCGCCGTTTTGTGCAATATGTGCCGTGCCGCGCGGCTGCATTGTTTTCTTTCGGGAGAATTGGCTCTCGCCAATATTGATTTTAGCCGGGCCAAGGCTTTCGACACTTGAGTTTCGATGCTTCATTTTCTCCCGAGTTAAGGAGAAGCTTACGTCACTTTGCTTTCCACGGTACTTTCGGCGAGCCCGGGGTTCACGC